TCTTAATTTCCAATTTTTTAAGTTTTAATTGTCGCCTTTTTATAATCAATTCCAACAGTTTGCTTTCACAATGGTTAAAAAACCAAAACCATTCCTCCATCATAAGATCTTTATCATCCAAACCATCATTAGCTGGAATATCCCACCTAAGTCTCCTTGGTGTAATCTTATCTTTTAAATATAGCTCTAAAGTGTTAACATCCCACCATATCCTAATTTGTTTCTCTAATAAGTGTTTAAGATTTTTAAATTTTTCTTCTAAATTAATCCCATTACTCATACCAGTAGGATTAAATACTTCCAATAAAATCTACTTGTCTTTTTTCCATATACCCAAAAATATCCATGGCTGCTATTCTTGAATCACTCGTCAAACAAAGTGCAAAATCACAAAAAACAAACAAAAGAAAGCGCCAATCAACAATAATTAATCCTATAAAGCAGCAAACCTCTAACCCAAGTATTGGTGAAAAGTAAAAAACACAAAATCGGAATGCGCTTAAATCATATCAAAATTTCATATATCGTGCAAAGAAAGTCCAAACGCTATAAATTTACATTATCAAAAAAAAAAAAATCCCCAGTGAACCAATTTATAAATTCTTATTCATGTACAAAAGTCCAACATCCCAAAGAATTTCTTCTTAAAACAAATAAATCCACCGTGCTCAATCCACCACCAGATGAATGGAATAAACTCACCAGAGCTTAATGTCCAATGGCAGACTCAGTATTTCTGTAGACTATTACTAAACATAAACCAGTGTGAATGATTGTTTACTCTGGAGATTCTGGGATGTGTGAGATTACGTCTGTCATCATCTCAGCAGTTAAAAGAAATCATATTGAACATTGGGGTTGTTAGGAATAACTCCAAATGAAGTGGCTATTTGACATCCTATATTGCATTGTTATATTCCCAGCAGGAAACTAACCAACTACAATATATGTATAAAACATATATGTATAAAACTAGGAAATGGGCAAAGCCTAATGTAAAAAGTCTATTTTAAAGGATTAGCTAACCCAAAAAATTATATTTAATTTACAGGAGGAACCTGGTGGTTAGAGTCAGTCCCAGACTTCTTATTTCCCATGGATACTCCATCACCATGATTTTCCAACCATATATCCTGGTCATGCCAAGTATCCTGAGGGTTTTGAGTTTTTCTTACCACAGTTTACATTTCAGTTCCACCTCTTGTGGTCTCCATATTATAAAATAAAAGTCAATCAGTAAGCTTGGGGCCCCCTTATAATGGATTCAACAGGCATGCCAAGCCCAGGATCTCAAGTGCTGGTATGTCATCAATTATGTTTGCAAGATATATAAAAAAAATTTGAAGTGTTTTAATCCCCCAACAGCTACCAAAAATGAAAATAATCACAAATATTGACAAAGGTTTGGTTTATTTTTACAAAGGCTTTAGATTTAATTTTCCATCTATTCTACTAATGATTTTAGTATAATTGCCTAAATTATCATGGGACCCAATATAAGTGCTTTTCCCAAGTTCTCTAAAGCATTATATATATCCTGCCTAGCAGAATCATGCTTCCAATAGCAGAAAAATAGTATTGTTCTCAGACCTATTACAGGTAATTAAAGATGTTTAGCCATCTTCTTTATTACAATGTAGAATTACAGCAGTGCATGGTCTGTCAGCCATAGAGATGTTGATTTAGAATAGAGAATGTTCACTTAGCAAAGTGAATACTTACAGTACTTTGGAAAGTGTATGTTCATTTTCAGAGTGAATATTAGTAAATAAGATGAGGCTATGTTAACTTTGAAAATGTGATTGTGCTTGCAAAATTCATGCTTTTTTTATAAAATGTCCCTTGCAGTTGAATGAGTATTCAACATGAGCACAGATTCACCCTATTTACATTCAGTGTAGTTAAAGCTGTGCATTAATACTGTTAATTGTTTTATATTTTAAACTTGGTTTTTGACTTGTGAAATTGTTTTGTTTTGTAAAAATTACAATGGGATGGTTGACAAGTTGAATAAAAAATGACCAGTTCAATTCCACACTGTTTTAGCCAATACTCCATTTTCTGTACCCTCTCTTTCACCTGCAGTGAGAAATGAAGTGTAAACCACAAAGAAATATCTTTTTACATCTTTGACAGCTGCACAGTAATTGTGGTAAAATAATTTTTGTCCTGCTGTCTCTCATTTTGTAATGTAGACAGCAATGACCCCTTCATATGAAATTGGGCTGAAACGGGTTTTTGACCTGTATATTGGAAAAAAAAACAGGGATATACAGTATGGATCTCTCCAATTCACATTGTATCCATGAAAGTATAACTTCCTGCAATATTTAAAAACTGTGACTCCTTGCTATGTTCTGAGGATAGGTTGATAGTTGCTCTGTAAATGCCTCCCAACCAACATAACCAGCAAGAAGATCTCTCATTGTACATTATACATTAAAAAAAAACAAAAAAACTTACAACTCTAAAAAGGTAAGAAGAAAAAATCCTTGGTAATAGCTGTGGCAAAATCAAGGTAATTAAAAATAAAAAGATCTTGCCGAGAGAGAGGAAGAAAAAAAAGCTGAAAAGGTTTCAACTGTTTATTGATAACAGAAACCCACCCTTTAATTCTGTTAAAAGTAATTTAAACAGAAAAATATTTATTGTTGCTGAGTTATCACATACAATGTTTAGTTACCTTGATTGATGTACAGTACTTTGATGTAGTGAGGACCTGTTAGTTTGTATGCAAAAGTACAGTATAGATAGATAGAAAGATAGATAGATAGATAGATAGATAGATAGATAGATAGATAGATAGATAGATAGGTTGTGATGGTTTTCTGATGTCAAATTACTTGAGAACATATAGGACACCTTGTGACATGTAAGGTTTAAAATTAAAAGGAGTAAGAAGGAACCTATTCCTCAACCTCCTATTTCTGGAGTGTTGCAGATTAGAGAGCACATGCCTCAACACTAGTTTTATATATATATAGTAATATAGTATATACTGTATATACATTGTGTGTCCAGAAAGTAATGAGGATGATATTTTATAAATTATTTTACTGAAAAATTTTACAATTGAACATTGTCTTCTTCAAAGTATGCACCCACCTTGTGAGTATACACAATGCTCCCAGCGATTTTTCCATTCTTCATAGCCTCCCAGGAAGTCTTCAAGTGGGATGGAATTCAGAGCCTGTGTAGTGGCTCTTTGTACGTTATCCACACTATCAAAATAGTGTCCTTTCAAACCCTTCTCATTCAAAGTGATGTAGGTATGTGCCATTCTGAACTTTGTTTCTTCATCTCAGGATTGCACTCAAATACACAGGACTCATATCTCGTGATCACTCGACTCAATAAAATCAGGCTTTCTTTCCAAATGGATCAATAGGTCTTGATAGTGTTTCTTCTCATCAGGTGACAAGTTCTTTGGAGCAAGTTTTGCATTTCTCATGTTCAAATCCTGGGTCATGATTTCATGAACAATTGACTTGGTAATTTCCGTTTCCTCTGCAATCATTCTGATAGTGAGCCATCAGTCATGGTTGAGAACAGACCTCACTGCATCCACATTCTGTTCCATTTTTGATGAAGAGGGGTGTACTGATCTTTGTTCATCATCAACACCTTCTCTTCCTCCCTTGAAGTTCTTGTGCCATCGGTACACTTGTGCAGATGATAGCACAGCTTCTCCATAAGCTTTTCTCACAATTTCCAAAGTTTGTGTTGCACATTTACCCAGTTTCACATAAAATGTTATTGCATACCATTGTTCCAAACTCGCTTGCATTTTTCTTAATTAAAGACACTTAACCAGGGGTGTCACAAAAACAAATGTCTCGACTTTGACAGGGCTGTAATGCAACTGATTAGTGTTCTCACGTATACTGTACCTGACACCCCACCCAAAGTTACCTTGGCCAACTTCTCCCTTCACAGTGCCCTTCTCAAGCATAGGAACTTCAATCTCAATATATTCTGGACACACCTCGTATATTTACTGTATATATGATATCTTTATTGTATATTTATATATTGTATAGTTATATATTAATTCTAAAGATCACCTCTTAAAATTCTTTACAATGATGGAGACTCTGCGGTTGATTTGCTAAGGGCAAATAGGCTGTTCGCTTTGAAAGGGAATATGCCTTTAGCTTTGTGTAGGTGGTAAAATTCCAAATACCCAATCACATGCAAGCAAAAGGAAAAAAAACTGTATTTTTGCTTACATTTGATTGAATGATGGAGGTCAGAAGAGGTTCACCTCACTCACTAAGCTAAGGAAAGATATAATTGCTTAGTGGAAATTCTCTTCCATAATGACAAGCCTATTTGTCTTTAGTAAATGAATCCCTTCAACATCTGGCCCTGGACTTCTCAATTGATGACATTGTGTTTTTGCATGAGCTTTTGCTCCACAGATGAGCTTATATTCACATCTGTTCACATTTGGAAGACAAGTACAGGCCTCGGACTACAGTTAGTGGGAAATTGTATTAGGTTATATTCCCCTGGCTGTTTCTTCTTTTTAATACTTTTTTGTAAAGATATCATAATCATCCAAAACTTTACAATATTATCTTCTTTTTTTCTTAAAAATCTGAAGCTCATTTCCAGGCAAAAAACAATGAAAGAGTGTTCAAACAACGCATCAAATGGATTCTATATTCTAGCTTTTTCCACCTCTGAAACAGGAGGACTTGTGCTTTTTACTGGAGTTCTGCTAATGTATCTAATGACAGTGACTGGAAACTTGCTTATTACAACATTGATCTTTCTGGTACCCAGGTTGCACACTCCTATGTATTTCTTCCTGTGTAATCTCTCCATTGTAGATATCATATATGTTTCTAGTATTCTTCCAAAGCTATTGTCAATAACACTAACAAATGTCAAAGCAATGTCTTTTCCAGGATGCATAGCTCAGACTTGCTTTCTTGTCTTATCTGTTGTTTGTGATATGTTGGTACTGACCGCCATGTCTTATGATCGGTATGTTGCCATCTGTAAGCCTTTACAGTATTATCTGATAATGAATAGAAGAGTTTGCGCTACATTGACCATTTCCATCTGGTTTATAGCCATTATTAATTCAGTAAAATATGGCATTATTACTTCTGTATTAACCTTCTGTAGCTCGCAGAACCTTGATCATTTTTATTGTGACATAAAAACACTGTACACAGTCACCATTAGTGATACTTCCAGCAGGGAAATACTTATAATTGTGGATGATATTTTTCTTGCATTTATACCCTTTTCTTTGGTTCTGATTTCCTATATGTACATTATCTCTTCCATCATGAAGATCAGTTCATCAGCTGGTCGTGTCAAAGCGTTCTCGAGCTGTACCTCTCACATCACCACTGTTATTTTGTTCTATGGCCCAGCTATCGTACACTATGCTAATTCAGAAGCCGGACTCTCTAAAGAGGGTGATAAGTGGATGTCCCTGATCTATATGGCTTTAGTCCCAATGTTGAATCCTTTAGTCTATACTTTAAGAAATAAAGAGGTTTTAGGAGCAATTAAAAAACTGCGAACAGTCGCAAGGAAGCTTATTTATAATATTTTTATATAACATTACGTTCATTATGCTGTTTTTTTTAGTTGATGAAATCAAGAAAAACAATCATTAAACTTGAATGTGGGGTTTAGCATGTAAGGGTGTAGACATTATCTCCATAATAAAAGGGTCACACATCATGAGGCCCATGGATTTACGCCATAGATGTCCTTATCTAGACTTTATAAAGGAACTTACTGCATGTTCTATAAAAAGATAATATCCACCGACAGCAAGGAGATGAAGTGAGTGCTAGATCTTCAAATTTTTCCACATTATCAGTCATTATGTAAGTATGAGAAAAATAGTGCTCTAAAAACCTAATTGATAAATACATTGTGCACTTATATGTCCTCTGAAGGCTCGGTCTCTTTACATTCATATGACAACACACTGTGTTCTGGAAGTTTATTTTCTTACTGTACAGTAGGTCTATAAGAAAGTGGACTGGTAAAGGTAGGGAAAGAAGGTTAGACAGTATAGAAAAATCATTATAAAAGGCGTTTCCATTTTGGAATAGAAAGGTAATGTAAAGCCTCTCATACCATTAAAGTTGACCAATCATTTACATCAAGGGCACATATTGAGATTACTGAAAAATATATTTTAAAGTGTATGTAAACCCAAAATCAATTTTTCACTTTTTTGGTATCATGGCTTCCTGTATAAATCATTTTTTTTTGGGAATCTGTTGGAAAGTTTCTTACGTGGGGAACCTTCCAGTAACACTGTAACTGGATACTAACAATTATAGGTAAAGTTGATCCAGGGAATATCCGATTGCCTCTCGGGGGATCAGGAAGGAATTTTTTCCCCTGCAGGAGCACATTGGTTCATGCTTTGCTGTGTTTTTTCCTTCTTCTGTATCAACTGTGGGTATAGGAATAAACATTTTTTTTTTTTAATGGTCGAACTGGATGGACTTTTGTCTTTTTTCAGCCAGACTATGTAACACCACTTCCTGTTGCAGGCCGACAATCTTAAGTCACTGCCACACAGTTGCCATAAGTATTATCAGCCTGCCATGTGCATTGTTTCGGTTGGTTATTGGGCTGCCTATCAAGTCTGTCAAATACGCAGCCAACTGAAGGAGTATACATGGTAGGCTGACAACACTGCTGCTACTTTAAGGCAGTGGCTTAGCAGTTAGCTTTGAAATATTCCTGTAAGTCTTTCAGCAGAAATTTCTAAAACTGAATGCTGTGTGGAAGAGTCTGCCACCTACTTTGGCCTCTAAACCAACAGCCCAATGTGCAGAGACATATAGGCTGATCTAAACATAGTATGGTGCCTACAAATTGGCAACCCTATCAACAGAAGATGGAGAATGCCCTATCACAAAAAAATCACAGTAAACATAGCAGGCCTATCACTTACAGTATATTCCAACATTCTGAGATGAAGCAGGAAACACCATTTAGCACAAAGTAAATGATTTGGCAAACCCAGAGGGTTTTATCACCATTCCTTTTCCTTTATAGTGGCTTTTTGAAATAATGAATGCAATTATTTAAAAGCTGGATAAAAAATTTAGTGTAGCATAATGCTTTTGCTGCAAGTTGAATGGTAAGAGGGATAATACTTGGCTTAAAACCATAAGGAGTTCTTTAGACAAAAATATGTTTTTATATCACCTTAAAGTGTATGTATCCAAAAATATACATTTTTTCCGTTTTCAGCCTAGAGCATGGAATGGGTAAAAACCTGTCAAGTTACTTTTTTAACATCTGCGATTTCCTTCCCTTCCTGTCCCAAATTATGCAACAGGATGTGAGAGGAAATCTCCCCAAAATGAGGTGAATTCCCCTCTTAGATAGTTGCCACTAGAACAGTGTAGCTATTGGAAGATTGTCCTTCACCTCTTGTTCTGGTGACAGATTTTGGATTTCCCCTCACTTTCAAAACCATGAACTATGCTCAACCTCCTCACCCAATACAATAAATGAGAAAGTGGAAGAAATCAATCAGCCTAGTCACAAATATATGAATATAAGAACCTAAATACTGTATATTTGAATATAAAAATCACAAATCAAAATGTATAAATATCAAACATATTCCAAAAATTTTAAAAAACGTGAAATCAGGTTAAGCCTTGGTTCACACTGAATGTGACTTTAAAATTGTGCTACTTCACCTGAAAGGGGGCTATTTCAAAGCCGCAGATCAGTGCGATTTCAGGTGCAACTTGCTTGACATCTGTGCAACATAATACACAGATGTCTATGTAAGTTGCACCTGAAATCCCCGAAAATAGTGCAGAAACTCTTTTCAAAATCGGTTTCCATTGCCAACAATAAAGTGCGACTTGTCATGCAATTTGGAACTGTCAAATTGCATGACAAGTTGCACCAGTGTGAACCAGGGCTAAAAGGAGGGGTTCACAGCTGAAATACAAGGCAATCTCAGAACACCCTATCATTAACACAACCAAAAATCAACGCAGCGCAACCCTTTAACACAGTGATACATCAATCAGCTATGCATAATAAAGTGTTGCAATCAAAATATAACAATCTGTGAATCCATACACAAGCGTTAATAAATAAATAAACAATGTTCTTGTGATAATTTGCAAAGCCACAGACCACAGTGCATTCAAGTGATGAGATATCTATAAACAGGACTTGAAGTGTCACTTGTGCCTCCACCAACATAGAGTATTGGCCGCCCACCTCCAGGACATGACCCCTGAATGAACAGACAGGTCACAATCTGCTTCTTCCCCATCAGCAGTTAATCTTCTGGTGTTTGTTCCACTCCCCATACTCACTCCAGGGCAAGGGCGGACTGACCATTCGGAAACTCGGGCACTGCCCGAGGGCCCGGGGTCAGTAAGGGGCCCCATGAGATGCCCTTGGTACCTTTCATAGGCTTTTTTGGGCATGGTTTGAGTGTGGGCAAGGACACAGGGGCCCCATGATCCCCTATTGCCCGGGGACCCCATGAGTTGTCAGTCCGCCCCTGCTCCAGGGTATGATTTATGAATCAATACAGTCTATATATACTTGTCATCATCACGAGTTACTCCTTAGATGTTACAGGACTCTCCAATATCAATACCTACAGGCAGGGGGACACATTCATAGCAAGCAAAAAAGGGGAATCACTGGTGCTCTCCATTTAAATAACTTCTACTTCTAAAAATACATTACACTTACAGGACAAAGGCACTAAGCAGTGCTAACAGGAGTGCTTCACATATAGGCTCAAAGCCACTACTAAGATGGCCGCGGGATGGCATCATTGACGTAGTTCATCCCCCCTATATGCGTTACGTCCAGGGCGGGACTTCTTCAGTAGCAATTTACTCACTATGGTGTATGTCGGTGACTTTGCAAATGACCACAGACACTTTATTTGTTTATTTATTTATTTGTTTGTTTTTTTGTATGGATTCACCTATTGCTATATTTTGATTGCAACAATGTATTATGCATTGCTGATTGATGCTCAAAAAAATTAAAGGAGCACTTTTTAATCAAACTATCACAAGTAAAAAAATGTGAATTTATTATTTTTTGTGTTAGGAGCCTGTAAAGCATTGCACCATCGATCAGCAGTTCTCCTGCACACTGGCGGTGTATCTGCTTGCTTGTACATCCAATATGGGCAAGCTGATACTTGCTGACAGGAAGAATCAATGAACTAATACAGCGCTCCACAGTGCCGTGGTAGTTCATTGAGAAATACAAGCTGACAGCCGCTAAGGCTGCCGGGATTTGTAGTACATTCATTCACAGAACACTGTGAATGAATCACGCCGCCATGTGGGCAGAGCCTTGCACTGTCATGCTGTTTTTAAAATCGGACAGCTAGTACAGGGAACTTCTCCCCGTACTTCTGTTACAGGGAGGGGGGCAACAGGTGGTGGCTGCAGGAACAGGGAACATGTTACATGTTACATGTTCTATTCTAAAAGGAGGTGGAATATGTATCTGTTAGTGAGATAAGTCCATATGAAATACCTTCCATCACCCCCCTCCCCTCCAACAAGTGTAGGAAGAGTAACACATAATAAAATTAAATTAATAAACAAAAAAACAGCACAATGGAAAAATTTAATTGTTAAATGGCATAAAAGGGAAGACAGAATCCCTTCTTAATTTTCTCCAAATTACAGACACAAATTGATTTAAGCTAAAGATTAATATCCCAGCCATCATAGGCGTGCACACAGGGTGTGTGCCTGGGCACACCCTAATCACCCCATGTGCATTAGCATTGTAGCCAATTGCCTGTTGGTTAGAGGAGTGCTGAGGGTTTTTCCCACTTTGCTCCCCCACCAGTGTTGATGTGTTACCTTCAGCTGGCTCCTCTCCCATCATTGCTGGATAGCTGGAGCACCCTTGTGTGTGTGTGCCCCATCCTCCTACCTGACTCCTCCTTGCCATTGTTCTGTGGGTGCGGCTCCGTGTGTGGGTTTGATTCCCCACTTACCCGCCCCCCTTAACCTCCCTGGCGGTATTCCCGAGTGTAGCTTGGGGTAAAGTTTCAGTACCAAAAGTGGTAACCCTGAGCTACACTCGGGCTTTCCATGCGGCATTGCTCAGGGATTCCCTGCAGCACTTACCTTGTCCTTTGCTCCTGCGATGCGTACCCTGCAGCGTCCCTGACCATCTCCTCCGGCCGATACTGGCATCTGGCTTCCATGTTCCGATCCCAGCGAGCGTCGGGACGTACGGGGGCCGGACCGGCAGCAAATTTAAAAATTTTTAGAAACTGTAATTTTCTAATAAACTAATTTTACATAGTAAAACATTACTGTATCAAACCATTTCACATACAGTTTGTCCCTAGTGCTTTGTCCTGTGCCCTGCCTGCATTTTTACTGTTCTTTCTGCCTGGAAAAGTCCATGGCGTCCAAAAAGCGTCCCTTTAGGTCAAAAGCGGTTTTAGACCAGCTAGAGAACAGCGATAGTAAATTAGAACCATTTGCAGAATTGAATGATAATGATTTGTGGGAAAATTCGTCATCAGACACTGAAAACATTTCTGCGACTGAACTCAGCGAT